ATATATATATATGTACATATGCATAAACACATACGCGCAACACTCCCACTTTCACCACAATAATCACGATCAGACCCAGAAAGCAATCAGACTCCTGATTGGCACACGCAGCAGACCCTTCTAGAACATTCCACACGCCCACCCACCTACCCCGAGAACCACCACCTACTCCAGCCCTACAATAACACGCACCAATACTTCGCGACCATCACTTAAGCTGCAACAGTCACATAATGAAAAATACTGTAACGACGAGTTTCGTCTCAATATCCGAACAGAACAGAACAGCTTATACATGCGATGTGCACACACCAGAAAACGGGAATTTCTCTGTGGGCGTTATGTTGGTAACGGACATCCCAGAAAGGAATACCGCAGATGAGGCGATAATCTAGAAAGTTTCTCGATAACACTTCGAATACTTCGAAGTAGCTCCTTATTCTTTCGCTGTGACCCCACCGCAAACTGCACTCATTAATACCGTCAACGGCTTATCGCCTCTACCTTGCTCTCTTCCTTTTAGCAGACAAATTTCCAGGGATCATTAGGCATATATCCCAGCTGACCGAAGCCATATTCTGACAGAGTCGCCGCAGCAATTCATGACCTGGACCCCCTTTGCTTATCTATTGCCCGCAGAAACCGGCTGAAGTGACTGATTAGAATGCGACCTTTCCCAGAATATTTCCGGAAGTCCAAAATGTTGTGTTCCAACACGGAATTGTCATTAATGAATTGTTTCCACCAGCCTGAATGGACCAAATAATACCACATACTCCCGACCCATGTCACTTATGAAATTGGACCCACCATTTCACCCCTAATTTTCATTATTGTGAATTAATACAAGTAGATCGTTTTGTTCTTTAACAATCGATCATTTGCTCGCAACCATTTTATAACTTTATCAAAATACAATCCGATCATATTGTCTGGCATATCAGAACTCAAAAGGCAACGAACTTTTAGTCCACGTCAAAAAATAGAAAAATGAAATCCGGAATAAAACACACAAAAAACTACAAATCATATTCATATTTTTTCTAAATGCTGTTTGAGTGCTGTCGCACGAAGTTCACTTTCTTACATAGTTTATATAGTTAGGGCTGTGCATCTTGCCATTTATAAAGGACAGTATTAATGATAACAGCAGTGGCATAGATAATTAGGAATGAAACGCAAAAAAATACAGTGAAGAGGCTCAAAATTATCAAGATAACATGACAGTACAGACAGAACGCACAATTCAAGATAATCATAGTATTGTACAAATACTGAGTTATGAGTATCAAGTTCATTGCATGAAATGGCCATTCATTTAGGTACAGATGTGAAATGTATAATTGTTTAATCCGTGTAAAAATGGATTATCGAGCAAGAGTGGGCGATATATAAGAAATGCGAAGAAAAAAACATAGTCTCTTCACAACAATGCTGTAGCAATCTGATGAAATACTTAAATACCGAAGATAAGCACCAATTATCAAGCAAGTATACTCAACGTTGAGTCTAGTTATAGATAACAAAGTACTGGATGCATTTTTAAAATGATTCATAAACATGATAAATAAACTTAAAATACATGACAGTGCATTGTAGTACTAATATCTGCAGACGTTATTGAGATCAGATGAGTATTCTGTGCCCAAAACTTAGACTGCTATTATGTTCATATATTTAAACTAAAAAAGATCAAATCCTTATTAATTCATATATGAGAAAAAACAGAAAACAATCTAAGCCATACAAAAATCTGTAATATGCAGGTAAAAACCGAATGCTATGATACACAGATATCCTAATGTAGCAGAAAACTGAATAAGTCAATACCTAGTTAACGTATAAATTAAGCATCGGTGAAAAAGATCAAATTATAGCTAAACATTTGATTCTGGAGTAATTTTTAAGGCGAATTTTGATGTTGATGATTGTTGTTCAGTGAGATTAAAAAAAGGAAATGAATGAAGTGAGCAAAGCAACTGTACTCCAGCATCATCATCACGTTCGTGACAACGCAATACAAATACTGTGCCATGCTTAATACTGGCGGATGCTTGGACATTACATACAATTGACCACTTTGTCTCCTTCATACGTTCCTAAAAACACAGTATACAAATCATCCACCCATTGGCATATGTACAACATTCCAGCGTAAAATGCAGCATCACACCTTCAGTAGGGTTATACAAAACATCAACAGTTATCAATCAAAATTAAGGAAACAGATTTTCCACATGAAAATTTTAGTTCCAGTGGTAGAAAGCAGCAAAACGATAAGATAGAAAAGTTAAAAAACTAACTGGAAAAGGAAATTTTGAAGAGAAAAATCTTTGCAGAAAAGTAGCAGCTGTAAAACGAAGTGAAAGACAGCGAGCAAGATGAGCAACAACTTGATCAGCTGTATGACGCGGTTGCTGTCGAGTAAGCTTTAAATACTTATTCAGTGGTCTAGCGATTGCAGAAAACACTGCTTGAGCTGCCCCAAGTGCCTCCATAGGCTCTCCCAAAACCTATAAAAAGTCGTGATTGTGTGGTTTCGTAAAATCTGTATAATTTCAGCAAATTTTTGACACTGCAAAGACTTAAAGAAAAAATTTCCTTCCGAAAAGTACACCTTATTTTGATTATTGACTGTCACACTTTGAACACTTGCAAATGCTTCTTCAGCGGTACTAATCAAGCGATATTTCCGTTTTTGCACTCGCCGTTCCCACTCTATTATTTCATGGTAACGTTCATTGTGTCCACCGATTCGTCTTTTCGCAGCAGCCTCCATGATTGCACGAGCATTAGCCTCTGTTATAGTACATTCGTTACCCAAACCTTCGATATCATACATCTTGAAACCTCCAATTGATTGTGATACACCTAAATTATTTAGTCATACAGACAATGAAAATTTTCTCAACACTCTCTTTTGCCATAACTAGATATCCAACTGTTCTCAAAAGAGCGCAGTATAGACTAACCATGTCAGCACACTAATGCCTGTTGGAAGATTTTTGGAAACAGAATTACTGTCATTACAAAAGAGATTGCCAATATCAACTTGGTACGCTATATAGAAAAAATTAAAGCCTAAACAGTGTTCATTCTAATTACTACGTTATTGATATTTACAATATCGAATGAGGTAGCGGAATCTAAATTAACTCCCATAAGACGAAGGTTTTAGTCATCTAACCGAGAGGTAATGAATAAATGATACAATAAGAAAACAAAAAAATGATGGTGAATAGCAAAAAAAGATCTTTCGTGCTAAAAATTATCTTAACAGTAATAATATAAAGCATAACATGAAAATAACTTGCCAGACCGAAAATGCATTGAACCTCCGTTGAATGATTTATCCATATATGGATTATAAGATGGAAAAGTAGAATAATACATCCTGAGAACATGGACAGCAGCTTCTTGGATGCTCATTAGACCGAGGCTAAAAGTCCGACTTTCTCCATCCGGATCTCTTACAACGCTAACAATGAATTCTGGTCTCAATGCCCGCAACTCCAAAATGATGACCGTAATGTAGTGCAAATAAAGCATTGCATCGAGTAATGAAAGAGCAAAACTAACAATCACATTATAATTGCTTTCTTTCTCGAATAATATACGAACAGAATAAAACAACCAGAAAGCAAAAAGAATAAATAAAGCTAAGAATGCCAATGCAGCACGATGAAAAAATAGACGTGGCATATCCGCTGACGCATGCCGGAAATACATCGCCCAAAGTGCGCCTAATAATAATAATGTTTTCACTGCCAAATTCAGCATCAGTCCTTGGCAGTCAGCACCGCACAATACCTGCAGATTTTGAAATCACAGCGAAGTATTTCAAGCTATATCATATGCCAAGGAATTCTGTGATAACAGACACGTGCCATTTTAAACTGTTCTATTAGCAATTTTCGGCATCAAATATTTCCCCAATTAATAAACTTTTTGCCACGAAGAAAATTATAAAAAAAACCTCAGGCCAGCCGAATCCAACTTGATATAAAATAAATGGTAAAGCAACCATAAGAGAGGGAGAAACAACAGCTACAAATGAAATAAGCGAAGCACTGAGAAGCCAAAATATCCGAGAACATCTCCTTGCAACCACGCGTCCAACTGGAGCCACAAGTGCTCTTTCGGCGAGACCACTATATGAATGTTCGCTTGTATTGCCAGTTATAACCGTAGTATTTTCTGCCCAATTATCATCGTCGGCTGTCAATTTCATACCCTAGATGAATAATAACATGAAAATAAAATGAAATAAACAAAGTAGTGAAAATCACTCGACTACATAAAATGAAAGCAGCACTACAAAAACAAATACCTCACTTGCAGCAGCCGAAAAATTGGGAATAAAGGAGGTACCAGCATCTATTGAACCAGCACATCCACGCGACAAATTTCGAACCATTCGTAAGTTACGATGCGACGAAGAACGTCGTCCCGAGCTCTCTGACACCAAAGACATGAACGCTCGTTATCTGCACACGATGCTATAATTAATAATTGTGATAGAACAAAAGTAATTAATTATTATTACTGTGGATGAAAAAGCAAACAAGTTCAAAGCTAAGTAATTCTGCAAATATTTCTTACCTTATCGGTGCATCAAGATACGTCGACAACTGCTGCATTTGTTACTCCTAAAAAAAACAAATCCAGAAGGCTTTGTTAAAAAGGTAGCGAAACGAAAAAAATATAAATTTATAGAACTCAGCTTGTCATATCCCTCTTAGATTCATTATTCCGATCGATTCAAGCTTCATTTAACTGTAACCAATGAATGTGCTGCTAACATATGTTCATAAGGAAACAAGACAGGAACACTTTGTAAAACAGCTTTATTTGGAAGATTCATATAAGCAAACTTATTACAAAAGCATTCAAATACAAAACAAATGCAGAAATGTCAGTCGTTAACTAGAAAATAATCAGATTTCTTATTCAGCGTATCGTATTACACCTCATAACTACATCACTTTGGAATCATGCTGAATTCATTAAGATATTTAATAGATAAGCTTGTTTTAAAAGTAAATCTTGACTTGTTGATTATAATTGAAACTTATTAACACTCCTATCCTACTGCACAATGATGGGAACTATTACCACCATCTCCACAATAATTCACGGAACTTTTAAGTGTAGACTACGAACCATTAAAGGCTTTGTGATACTGTGACTAGATCGGTAGGAAAAAGGTCGTCTCACATCAATTGTATTTGAGAAAGATCATTTGCTTATTTCGCTGGAACATGAAATTTAATTGTCGAGATAGCTCAGATATATATTCCAGATGTGTATGCTAAGATGCATATGCAAACCGTGATATTCTGGCATTACTGCAACGTACTGTATGTGATATGACAGGTTGAGGTGATTAAGAATCCAGTTAGAAGGGATGATGAGTGATGCGCGGAGTGGCATGTGAAAAAGCGTGCATTACTAATCGATCTATACGTAATGAATACGAAGAAAAACGAAGAGCTTGCAGTTGCGTGGAATGTCTGCATCAAATGATCGCACCAGTTGGTTGTAACCATGTGAGTGAGTAAAATAAACATTGAGATAAGTATGAATTTATAGAGTGGGAATGACAAAACATTCGTGTTTTCTGTTTGTCGCAGGTGATAGTCGTATGCTACTGAAAATGTCTAATTGCTGGAGTATTAGTAAGATCTGATCTGGTTATTAAAATCAGTCACACCTCTTCACTGTGCAATATTTACAACCTTTTCGGGGCCACACAACATAGGAGTATTACAGGGAATCGCCATCGCCACTAAGACAAACAAATGTATTTGTTACCGTGGGCTGCTGTTATGTCTGTCGCTGCTTTCAAAAATCAATCCATATAGCTGAAAGCAAGCGGCTGCGATATACGACCCCAGAACGCCCCCTAAACCCCAGAACCTGTCTCTCTTTCTCCCCGTCTCTTTTTAATTCAAGAAATGCAACATTTCTCACAATGAGCTAACGGCTGGACCGTGGGCCACACTTTCGACAAAGCTGCAGTGTGCTGATTATATTTCTCCTTGGTTATTATCATTCCAGTCCCCAGTCTTGTTGATTTTCATCTTTGATGTGCACTGTACTAAATTCAAAGAGTAGACTTGCTAGTGATATGTTGCATCACACCTACTAAGAGCATGCAAGGAACAATCGGAAGGCTAGTTTTGCTGCAAGTGGCTAATATTTATGGTTCCTTGTTGTGTTTTAAATCTCTTTTCATGATAACAGTTATTCGAATTTCATCGTAAAATAAATTTCGAGCATTTAATATCGATCTGGACTATGCATCTGTCGTGGTCGTCAATTTTGATGTCAGCATTCACGATATATTTTTCTTCGTGAGGAATACGTTCATCAATACGAAACGATTATTGATTACCATTACTGACTGGGCGCAAATCCTACTGATATTACCGATATCTCAACACGAACGTCGTGATGGATGCACGACAGGCTGCGCAGTTTGGTAATGTATCAAGACTACAAGAACTATTAGATTCTGGGGAATGTACACCAGATACGCTGGATGCTGATGACTGCTCTTTACTACACTGGGCCGCTATTAACAATCGGTAAATTTTTTTAAATGTATTTCTCAGTTGTTTGAAGTGAAATGAACCTTTAATTTAAGTTTTTGATTTCTTTACAGACATTTAGTGTAGCAAACTTCATTTTGCAATCGTTTGTTTAGTTTATCCATAACTCGAATATTAATCGACCGTGGTTGCAATGTCAACGCAGTTGGTGGCGTGCTTGCCTCAACACCACTCCACTGGGCAGCACGACACGGCCACACACATATGGTTGCTTTGTTGGTTGCTCATGGAGCTGATCTTCATCTGTGTGATGTTGAAGGTATTTTCAAATAACTCATTTTTTGAGGTCATTTGCCAATAATTTTATTTATGGTTTATCACTTTCGATATATACTTAATTAGGCACTATTTAAAATGGATAAAACTGAGCAGAAAATTGAGTTTTATAGTCATATGAACTTTTATCAATATTTCTTTACAACTAGTATGCAATAAACTATACAATATCATTCACATAGTTTCATTGCATAAATCACGATACTGTACGATGAGCGTATTACATTCTGAAATGCCAACAGTAAGTGAAACATTTTACTAATACCTCAAGCTCCTTTTTTTCCTATTTGCATTCATTTAGTTACGGTGACTTGATGTTACAGGTTTTACTCCTCTTCATGTTGCTGTACAATTTGGGAGAACGTCAACAGCTGCGTATTTGATTGCTGCAGGACAGTCTGCTGATGAAAGGGATGAAACAAGGATGACACCGGCAATGTGGGCAGCGTATAAGGTTTGAAATAATTTTATTTAAGCACTCTTCTAACTTGATGAGTTGTGATTTCATTAACTGTTCTACATTACATTGTTCTACTTAATTTAGCGGATTTTGTACTGCATTGTGTTTCCAGGTTTTCAGTCGCGATCCTCTCCAGATGTTAATAACAATGGGTGCCGATTTGTCTTGTACCGATACAACTTATGCAAATACCGCTTTGCATTGGGCTGTGATACGGCGCAATCATTCAGCAGTTAATGTTTTGATAAAATATAATGCGGAATTAGTGCTTCGTAATCGTGATAATGAAACCCCTCGTGATATTGCAACACGACGAGGAGATATCATTAGTGCACGGATTTTAGAAAGGGCTGAACGCAGGAAAGGGCTGATCTCTTCAACTTTCATCCAATATATGAAGGAAAATGATGTAAGTTTGCTCATGAAATTCAACTATTTATCTTATTTTCTAATTTATTTGCCAGTCAAAGTTTGATTTGGCTACCTTTTATAGGTATTAATATCCCGAATAATGTTTTTTCTACCCATGTGTATTATGGTAGCCGTGGGTATAATTTTGCACATTGTTTTGTCGTATACGATTAAGGCTTTATTGCTGTTATCAATTGGTGTTCTTGGACGAACTGTTTACAGGTACTTGTTCATACTTTTTTTGATCTCAGCTCACAAAACTTTCCGAAACAATCATTTCAACAGGTTTGATTTCAGATCACTCGCAACAGACCGAAGTTTCTACATCATACCTTTAGGCGCAGCAGTCGCATCGAAGATTATTTTGGCAGTGACTTGGCTACTGTATCTGCATGCCGTCGCTGGATGGTATTGGCAAATTAGTTTCTTCATCTTTGTTACACTTACGCCAGTATTGTTTTTATGGATTGTTTTTTCTGATCCTGGCGTCATCACCGTGTCTCACAAAGTAACTGCTTTGGCGCATATTTTCTAGAATTTTTCAAAAATTATTTGATCAGTCTGTAGAAATGTTTTCATCTGGAAGTTGAAGCTATCAATAACTTCTTCCGCTTTTAGTATTTTATCGCAGTTTTTTTTTTCTGGTTTCATGTTCTGCTAGAGTGGAGTTATTTTTTGTTTAATATATTAATGTTTTTTTTTTCTTCTAAATGCCTAAGTGCAATCAAATTTTAATGTAAAAACTGGACTGTCACATCATTTATTTTGAACTTTCAACTTACTTCATTTCAAAATTTGTGGTTAGTACTTGTTTTCTTTTGATTTATCTCCACTGGTTAAGATTTATTTATATTGTACTTTCAGGAGCGGTGCGAAATGATACGCGATATGTGGGAGAAAGAAAACCAACCAGCGGTCTTATTTTGTAGTACATGTTTACTAAAAAGGCCAGCAAGATCAAAGCATTGCTCAGTATGTGATCGTTGCGTCAAAAGGTTATTTTAGTTTAATTAAGGTATGTGCGGAGATTCGGTCAAATTTGAACTTTAGGAAGCACTGATTTCTTCACATGATGAAATATAGATAATTTTTCACAGTCGTTTGAAATATAAACATTAATCTTTTCCCTTTATTATATACAGTTGTATGGTATCTTTAATATAATGCCATGACTTCATTTCTAATTTTCGACTTCTTGTTCGTAAATGAAGTTCCCAAACACACAGAATACGAATGACGTGGTGTTCTTTCAACCAACACTTAACATGCAGCTGTTTGATTTTTAAAGACTTTATTCCCATTTCAATCTTAATCTTTGCAGAAGGTAAGACTGTCTTAGGACTTGAAAAGACCTAGATAATTGCAGGTTTGATCATCACTGTCCGTGGGTCCTGAATTGCATTGGAGAAAAAAACCATTTACATTTTGTTTTTTATCTCGGTATTGTCATTGTTTCTTCACTGCAGTTCCTTATCGTAACTTTGCATTGTAAGCTTTTTTGTTGTTTCAACATGCTTGATAGATTCATGTTCAAAGCCAGGTTGCTTTTACTATAAGGAATGAGTTTATGGACTGGATGGAATGAAACGGACTATAAAGCGAATTTTCTTCACAGTATTGAAATAGTGTGTGTAAGCGCCGTACTGAATGACATTCTCCTAACAATCCAAAAGATGCAGTTACCGTTTCTAGTAATTTATTGGTTACAGGACTACGGGAAGAGAAACACTGCATGTTCAACTTTTATCGATTAAATGAGTAAGATGCATGACAGGAAACATTAATAGTCACTAAATAGGCAAAGTACAGTATATGCAGAAGTTTGCAGTGAAAATGCACCATTTGTTTTTGCAAATAACATCGTTCTGAAAAAGAAAGTCTGGGTTAACATCTACGACGAACTATCTAAATGTTATGTAAAATTAGTGAATTTCATGGACTTTTACACAATGCAACTCAAGACAAACATAAATGTTTCAAGGGTTTGTCATTACATAATTTTAAGATTGGCATGATTCATGTGGTGAGATCTCTCGAGCAAATATTACATACTGTAATCCTTGGGTGACCTATGTCTTTGTCATAGCTCTTTATCATTTTATATGGACAAGCGCAATGTTCACATTTCAAATATATCAGGTAAAGCAAACTTGTTAATGATATGAATTACACTTTTTTAACTTCATTATAGTGGACTGCAAAAGTAAATTTCATAGAAACCTGGAACTGCTTTATATGTTAACAGGTCTTATAAAACGGTGAAGCAATGTCCAAGAAGCATATTTCCATTTTTGGATTTTTGGCTTGAAGGTTACATCATAGACCAGCATTATTCTTTCTTTGAAAGGAAGATATGCGAACGTAAACACTCTTCTCAATGTGCTTCTCGCGTAAATTTTGTGAGCATAAAAATCCAAAAATTGCAGATACTTTGCGAAATGACAACAAACGAAAGACTTAACGCTTATAGATATGAACACTTTCATTCAACTGGAAACCGCTCAACAATAAAAAGCCCGTTCTCGTGAGTGATTTAATATGAATTTGGTTTAGACAGAAATGATTACGAAATTTTGTACAATTAAGTCTATTATTTATAAAAATGTGTCCCTTTTGATTCAAATGAAAAGCAATCAGAAGTGTGCGTGAAGTGTGGAATGTTTGAGGGTAGAACTATTATAAATCCTACCATTTCAGGAAAGGGATATCACAGAATTTATATAATTTCTGTTGCGGTGGTGCCATTGCTTCTTCCGAAGAAGAGAACCTGTTAGACTAATTATGGTTGTCAAGATTCGTTGGACTTTTGTATATAACAATGGCAGTTCTGTTTAGCATTATTGGACTTCAATTACAAAAACAAAATCACCAAGAGACAAGATACTCAAGGGAAAGAAACTAACACGGTGTATGCATGTTAGCGGTAATCGTTTTCCTATTTCCTCTGCTGCAAATTATTCGATAACCTGCAAGAATTTTTAAAGCAATATACGATTTGCCATTATGTTTTACAACGTTTACATTGATACTAACTGCTTCGTTTGTGTTCTCTAGTTTCTTTTCCAAATAAAAATGGTACGTACCACTCCATTGCCTCATCCAATCCTTCACCTTTTGTCGCAGACGTTTTAAAAATCTGAAACGTTCTTGTTCGAAGAGCGTCCAGTCCTAAACTACGATGCACATCAGCCAAAGAAAGGCAATTTGGAATGTCCTGTTTATTTGCTAGAACCATTAGAACAGCATTTTTTAATTCTTCTTCCTGCAACCATCATAGGGATTTTATACTCTTAGTTCTATGTGCTTGCAATGAAAACATTATATTAGGCTTAGAAAACAATCTGATTCATAGAACAGATAACAAGGCTGGCATAGTGATTGTGGTGAAAGCCATTAATGGTTCACGACAATGATGGAAAACGAATGCTTTGACTGAAACATCGTGCTAAAGCATGAATGCACTTTAATTTTCATTTCGGGATTCCAAAGAAGACCTATCCAGCAAATTAACAGCTATATCAGAGTTCACTCAACTTCTCCAATCAAAGAGCTCTGAGATACCTTCGTTTTAAACCCCATGGTATAGTTTGGCAGTGCCGGAGCTTAAACATCTCAGACCTCTAACATTGATACTAGTTCCTGCTTCGAAATACCGATTCTATCTTTATCTGCCGAATCGACAACATATATTATGGCATCGGTATTCGAATAATAACACCTCCAGTATGGGCGAATTGATGTCTGACCACCGAGATCCCATACCTGTAATGCATTACTATGATATCAATGCTCTCCATTTTGAGTGTAACGGATCATTTTTATATGCATCTAAATTAATTTTGTTATTATCAGGTAGAACAGTTACATCAATGAGATGCTGAATAACATTTGACAGACCATTTAAATTGTCAATCTTCGGTTTATATTTTAGCCCACTAAAGCGCATATTTAAAAGGATTTTGTAGCTGTAGTAGAACACTCCAGCTATCAATAAAAAGTGAAACTTGTTTAAATTACGTTAAAAGCAGAACAGACCAACCCCAATTAATGCTCCACTTTAATATGGAGTGTTTACAAGAAGTTGTCTTTTCTCAAAGAATGTACCTGAAATTTGAGATTCTTATAAACAACTTGTTCCACATTGAAACCTATAGTTGGGATCGTCGTCACAACCTCGCCTACCTGCAATTATAAAAAACAGTTAATAAGTTTCCAAAAGTATATCACGAGAATGCCCCGATTTCCGAATCATTAAATCTTTATTATAAACAACGAAATTAATAGCCCAAATGTAAATAAAAATACCTGAAGTCTGTACAAAATAGTTGTTTTTCCCGCGCCATCTAGACCCAATACCAAAATTCTCAGCTCTTTTTGTCCAAATAAGTTACGAAAATAGCTCAGCACTCCGCCTAAAATAACTAGACAGCTATTATACTTTGGGAGGCAAGAATTTTATTCTCATCAGTTTAATTACCATGACTTTTGCTTGTATGAACAAGGAAACGATAAATAATAAGAGAAAGAACTTACCCATCAGTGGAAGCAAATTCCAAGCAATCTGAAATTTGTTCGGCTATGAAAGATTCAACATTACATAAATTACATAAAGTATATGAAGTAGTTTTGAGGTTAGGGATAGCAACGCTCATCATAATTAAAAAAAAGACTTCCGAAAATCTTAATTGAAGTGGCTAGTAAAAAGAATACTCTTCACATTAGCGAGCCTTTTAGGTTATAAAAAGCTAAGAGAACTACATAACTATTTTCGGATCTTTAATTTGGCCTTTCTACAAATAACGCAGAATCAGGCTTTATGAGTTGAATTTCTTCAATATCATACTATTTACACAGCAGATTAGATCCCACTTACAGTCACTCCTTCCCGATATGCAACCTGCCGACAAGAACGAATAAATTAAACAAAATTCACCCGTCCACATCACCACATTGTTAGTTAGTTTTCATGCGGCCCGAAGGCATAACTGCGTCGATATTGCTCCATCCCATCAAATATTTGAGGAAGGGGAATGAAGTAGATCCTATTCAAATCAATTTTTGGAAATCGTTATCTGTGGTGACGGTGATCTGTGCAGAAAAATCGAGGAAATCGCCATCCATTTATCCAGTTCGCTTTGAAAATGAATCATTCGGTTAAATCGAAACCTTTTTATTTGCTCCACGCGCCGATTAGCGAACTCAAAGCAGAGATACCCGACCTTAACGAATTCCAGACTTGCTGTAAGTCTATGCTTCAAAACTAGGTAGCCATCCCTCATACTGTGGTTTTCGAAATGGATTCCATGAAAATCTGAAATGCCTAGAGATAGGACTTCTATAAGGTATTAAGTGATGAAATGATAGTTAATCACTGAAAGACACCTTCCGTAACTTGTCTATCAATAACTTTGAAAGGATGAAAAGTCCCATCTCTAGGTAGCATTTATTAATGTATTAATTTTCGAAATGTAAGAAAGTGCCGAGGACAGATCCTTTATTGTTGGAACTTCTGTTAGCACCAGCCATAGATCAATACTGATTATTATATTGCAGTCAGTCATACCATGCTATATACAACTGTGTTTCCCTCACATATGTGATGCGAAGGTCACATTCTTATAAAAAAATAAAATTTTGGTTGCTTAATAAATTTGCAATACTTTCTGGTTTTCGCTTATCTGCACACTACAGTGAGTACATAATCTTCCACAAATGCAGCAGGTGGACATTGAAGAAATTCATGCAATGTTTCACACACTCATATGCTTTAATGAGTCCTCTTGTGTAAACTCACGCAACTTTTCATAGTCAACATGCTTGTCATGTCCAGTATAATGCATTTGATATTTTGTTGCAAAACCGAAACGAATACATCCTGTGCATCCTTAAAGTTTGAATGCTGAGCACATCTATAGCCGCGCAATAATGCTCTGGCGTTCTTCCTCTTCCTTTCCACCACTTGTAATAATTTTTCCAAGAAACCGCTTCTCCCGGATGGTGTGCGATGTTTAAACAATAGAAAAGAAAGAATTCATCCAGAGCATTTATCAAAGTTTGAGCAAAAACAATTCTTATTCAGCAATGAAATGAAGTTTAGAAACTTTTGCTATACCGCAATCTCCCTCTTCTTTTTCTCATCAAAAAACATACAAACGAAAACACTTCGTACAAATTTGATTAGCTACAATTTACAAATTGCCATGTGTGACCATTAGCAAAAATACTTTCCTACGGATTCTAGGTGATGGAAGTTGCCTTGTACAGATATTATTTCTATGATTTCTTACTAAACTAATGAAATTTCTTTCCAAAAAGCACTAGCTAAGACGCACAGAGAATACCGAAACTGGGATATACACATTCCGATAACAATATGAATAAATGGTGTAACAAAAACTAATCAAACAAATGTTGGTTGTGCTACCGAAGAACAGCATGATGGCAAAAAGGATGACTTCTTATCGGGAAGAGTGACGCCATCAACATGAAAAGCAGAACCAAGATGATCACTATCTTCTGAATCGGAATGCATGTTAGACACCAAAAGACGGTCGCGCATTGCTGCCGCCAAATTATAAAATGCATCATCACAATTAATTCCTGACTTCGCACTTACCTGTAAACTATTAGCTTTCACTACTTGTATTCTCAAACATTTACCGTCTCAAAAGCTCAGCATTTATCGACTGTTTGGATATTCTGGAAAACAATATTAGCAAAAGAAATAATGCATCTGTTATCCTTTACTACTCTGATGATTTGACCTTAACAGTACTGTTTTCAATTTTACTGAAACGTTAGTGCATGCCACGCACGGAACCTGTCCTAAGCAATATTTTAATATTTAATATTTTCTGAAGAGTATTATTCTTAACGCATGTATGGAATTAGTATACAAAAGAACAAACGTTACTAATTTCTATTTACTACATTTTGCTTTTCGCGCATCATACTACTTATACCCTACAATTTGATTATCCGAAAATGACATGAAGGAATTGAAATCTTCATTTCCCAGCTATGTAAAGCTACTTCATAATACTGTTCAATAATTTCAGAAGAGTTGTTCGCAACCTAAATAAGAGTTTCCATCAATATACCAATATGTTAAAAAAGAACAACTTCGTAAAGAGAGACTCCAAGCTGGCTAGCGAGTTGTTCAGCGCGTTCAAAATTAACCATTCTCTTGTCTTCCAAATCAGCTTTATTTCCAATTAACATCAACACTGCATTTGATGGTGCATGCACTCGAATTTCCTATAATGTGTTCCATTAATAAAACACCATAGTACAGTGACAGACAACCATTTTTTCCAATGTTTCTCACTTAATAGCAGAAATTCCACTAGTTAACAGTTTAATATACCATAGCATACTCATTTATTGAATGTTTTTTCTTAACAACTAGAAATAATAATGGAACCTATCTCATTATGGTTTGAAAAACTGAAGAAATATCAGTGGTAATTAAATCACGTGACGTTTGCCTCTTTTTATTGATGTCATTAGAAAAATTAAAACTTTTGAATAGTATTGACAGTCCAACAATTTTCTTGGGAACTTCTAAATTTTGGCCAGTAAGTCACCGAAATAAAAAACGCGTTCTCAAAAACCTCGGAAAGATTTACAACATATTTATTCACGGAAAATATTCTCCAGGTTACTTTTCTCCATAAAGCTTGCCTTTAACCAATAATTACGCAAATTATCGAAAGATCGTTCGTCTGTCAAATCATAAACACACATTACTCCATGTGCCGAATGATAATATGAGTTATAGATTGTTCTATAACGTTCCATCCCTGAAAAATTTGAAAGGAGCTAATTATTTTTAGAAGTATTTGTTCTTCTTGAATTCAATTTCAATCATCTAATCCTACCTATCATATTCATCACAAATTATTCAATTATTCAGTGAACATATTATTTACTGGAAAGAATCAAGAACAAAGTGAGCAGAATCACATATGAGGGAGAGAAAGGGGATCGGAAGTAGACTTGTAAGTTCTAAAAATCTCAGGAGGACTATAAAGGATAACTTCACACTAATCACCAAATCATTAACATTTATCCCAACTATATAATATTTATCACTTTTCTCAACTCACTCCCATAGCAGAATTTAGCTTACGAAGAACTTGAAGCCATAAATTCTATTATTTTGAAATCGACCATTTATATAGAAAGACGGATGATACATTTATTGGTTTGAATCAAAAATCGTGTCAAACAGTCTTTCCATACGTGATACAAAGTGTTACTGTCACTTAGTGAATACAATATTGATCAACAAGATATGAATTACAACTGTTTAAAAAGTGTGAAAAAATAATTAAATTAGATAAATGAAATGATAAGAAAACAAGAGTACCAGCTGTATCCCATAATTCTAGCCGGATTTTGTCACGACCAAGTTTGACTGTTTTCAGTTTAAAGTCAACACCAAGCGTAGTAATGTGATCCTGGCGAAATGAATTCTCAGCAAAGCGTAGCAAAATGCACGATTTGCCACAGTTATGATCGCCAACAATAACGATTTTGAATAAATAATTGTAACTCATAATGATAAGTTAGCAGTGAATGATTACTACAATGTGCTAAGGGTGTGACGATTAACAAGAGGTGATGGAAGAAAAAACAGGGGACAGTGACAGTAAGATTGGATTGGCTTGTACCTATAGAAATAAGTCAGTAGGCAACGATCTTTAAACTTGAAACAAACGTGATGAGAACACTGAAAGTAGAGTGATATAAACGTACAATGACAAATCCAAAAGTGGATGATTACTTCACAAGTAGAGAGAGCCAAATATGTTCAGCGGACAAGATGAAATAACAATAAGGAGTAGAGGTGGAAAGCAACGGGTGAACAAACCGAATATACAACTATCAATCGGTAGTGATAACAGCGGCAGTAACAATGGTGATTTGCAACAACACAGTGGTGGAAGCAGCTGCACGATTCACTTCACGAATTGACCGGTCACTAAAGGGAATGATCGTGCATTAAGCAAGATCGGGGTGGAGTGGTCACTGAGTGCTACACAAGGAAATGATTGACTGCTATGTGACCTTTCGTTCCCCCGTCGCACTGCACGTCTCTCACGTTCTCTCTACATGTACATAGAAATTACTGGTTTCGATAACTATCTAACTGCCACATAGAGAGAGAGAGAGAGAGAGAGAGAGTGAGGACCGGAGAGAAAAGAAGAGATAGACAAGACAATGACATATGATTATGGAGTTCGATGAGTCAGGTCAGGAAGGATAGAGGGATAGAAAGAAGGCTTGGAATAACTAGCAATATTCGCGTGCCTTAATGCAGGATGAGCAAGAACGAGAAGAAACAGTGGTGCACGCAAATAATGCATGCATTATTACTGTTTAGCAGACAGCATAAATAAGCTTTCTCACATCATCCGAAGACTCGATCTCGAAGATCCTTCCTGGTAGCATTATCACTATCGATTATCACTATTTTTTCTCTTTATCACTTTTTTCAAAACGAATAATACTTTCAATATTCGATCATTTCATTTCCCCCTCCATCGCTTTTGTTTACAAAAGCAAATTTTTTTCACTTCGCAGTTAAGTAGCCATTCATTTTTTAATAGGGATTGCTGAGTATCGGAACTGATTAAATTGGAAGTTTTAAGAGCTGTCTTGAAAGGGTATTTTACCAGGACAAAAACTGTCCCGGTAAAATATCCTTTCAGGACAGCTTATACAAAAACTATCCCGATAAAACACCTTTTCAGGACAAGGTATACAACGAGTAGTCAAGGTCAGGATTATTTGGGTGTGGAATTTCGGGTTCTAAATAATTTTCTAGTCATTCAAGTGAGAATTTGTCAATATACTTGTAAATAAAGGGCTATTTGAAGTAGAGAGTTTTCTCAAACTAAACGTGAGTTGATTTTCCAGCAGTGTTTTCTTCAGTCATATGTAAGATCGCCATCATTGGATTAGAGTTTTTCAGTAATCCTTTTTTTAGCTCACAACGAAGCTTCATTTATTAGTAGTGTACAACAAAAAATCAATTTTAGATTTTGAAAATGAGATTAGTAGCAATGGGTGTCGTTTAAAATTAGTGATGATTCATGGTAAAGATGTTGATGATAATCTGTTGTGTAAGTGACTACCACGTAGTGCCCTGAAATCAGAAGGATGAATTAACTGCTTATGAATTGCACAAAATGAACGAGGGAAAGTGGGTGTTCCGACGCTGCTTGCGAGAAAAGGTTGCTGAATAGCGTGCAGTTTGATTTGCTTGTTTTGTTGCCACTTGAATTTGATCTAAAAGTTCAGTGTTAAAAATAAATAATTACTAGCAATGCAATCAACACTCATCGTGAGAACAACTGGAGGCCAGTTGTTGCAATACTGAACAAACATCCTTCTTCTTGCAGTGCTTTGGATTTTTATAAAAGAAACTCGAAAGATTCAAAAATGCTTTCAGTTCTCAGCACGATGATTTTTCCTGTACTCGTCCTTTTTTCTTTCATTTTTACAATACCAACGGTCTGTTATTTTTCCCACTGAATTTCTGTTTACGATATTAAATATATATTTTTGAAAATCAAAAAAGAAGTAATTTCAACTATCTTTTCTCTATTATAAATTAATTGCTAATTGGTGAACAAAGTTTAATAATCATTCCTGGAAATCTTTGCTGATTTAAATTACTTATATTTCTTTAATATATTTTCTCTCTCAATTTTAATGAAATTTCTGCTTGAGGTAACAAGTGTAAGAGTCACGAAACGTGATACGGCAGCAGTGCTAAGAAAAATGCATGGCAATTTGCGGGAGAATTGTTTCCCACGACCTAGTGGTGGATGTATGTGTACTGTGAAACAAGAAAATGGTGTTGAAACTGTTGAAAATTACGATTCCAATGAACAGTGCAAATTAAACATTACAGGTATCTACGTATTACTGAGTATTTGAAATTTTCAGGAAAATTCAATGATTTTCTATCCGCTTTGAGAAAATCAGCTGAAATTTTGGAGAGTATGGGTTCTTTTTCGAATATTTTTAGAAGTATCAAAGTTGATCAAATTGTTTGCAATACAGTGAAAATTCAGAAAGTTTTAAAAGGATTTATAAACCAATTAGGTAGCATAAAAGTTAGTTTTTGGCATATTCTTTGAATAATCTTGCCGAAAAAATAAACATTACATTAGAACCAAGTAACCGAAATGACATCGAACATTACAATTCAATCTATGCGTAGCAGGAAATTTAAATATTCAGCACGGCTTGTACATATTGTTGCATTTGCTTTGGTTGAGATACTGATAGAGCGCAGTGTAATTCTATCTTGTTTGCGATTTATTTTGATATACTTTCCAAGTCTTCAGAGAGCAGTGCCAGTTGATGTATTATGTGGAATGATGGAGTGTAAGTATCACTTAAAACATTTCATCATAAATCAGTTTTCATTTGTGTACATTTTACAGGACATTGCACTCTCCTTTTATATTCTCACAAGATAGAAAAATGTAAAACATTAGTGCCATATATAAAACCAAATAACGTTCCATTAAAGAAACAAGAAATCTTCCGAGTTTAATGATTTGTTTGAAGTTAACATCCAATAATTCAAAATTTCATTAGCGTTCAAGCTAAACCGTTTATCATATTCCGAATTGGGTTCATCATTTGTTCACTGTCAATGACGGGAAAAAAATTGATAAAAAATTGTTTGAGCATAAATATGAGGAGTCCTATCAAAGAACGTAATCAACCGTTTTTTACAAATTGTTTAATGTGGGCAAAGAACCAGTAGGAGATACATATCAAAGCTTGTATTTTACGAACTTTTAGAAAATAAGAATTTTTTCAGTACAAACAATGCATAATAAAAAGCAGGTGAATGAGGACCTCAAAGATCGGTACGGTAATTACAAGGAGGACTGCTTCCCAACACCATCTGGGGGCTGTAAGTGCATTGAGAGAAATGCGGATGGTGATAAAATGGTGAGGAAATATGATGACGAAACAGAGTGCAAAATTCCACAGGTATGCTACAAACTTCCTGTTAATGTTAGTGGAATTATATAGCGATAACTGGTAGAGGCATCCGCTTTTTGAAAATTCTAAATGCATTTTGAAAATTCCAATCGCTAGATTTATTACAAACTTGGCCAATAATACTGTATTTGTTTACTGCATGCCTAGATCACAGTTCTAACCAACTAACAACAGCGTATTTGTAATTAGACTAAATCTATTATTTCATTAATACATTTCAGTTTTTGGTTTTGCATAAAGGGTATTTAACTTAGATTTAAATTAAACTAGGAAATAAATGAGTTTAGAAGAATATTTGTGGTTTATATTCATTACCATTTCATAGTAGCTTCGTATATTTGGAAAATTTCTAAATCTCTTTTTAAAAGTGCGTCCTGCGTAAACTACATCATGCACGGTGTTAAAGGAAGTTTCCAAGTTTTCCAAAGTATATAAATTATTAATGCTACTTAACCGATCGAGAGAAAAATGTGGAGAATGACGGTCACAACAGCCATAGCTTTTTCTAGCGATCTGAACATTAGGTTATGCATCTCATGCTATAGTTTTACCACATTTAGTGTGCATTATTCTATTAAAAATCTCTACAAGATCTGAAGATAATTGTCAAAAGCACCATATCACTATTTTCATTTTTTGATTCATATTTCTTCAAACCATAGAAATATGAATCAAAAAATGAAAATTGGACTATAGCCACTGGAATTTTTTTTATCCGATAATTTTTCGATCACGAAAAACGTGTTGCCTACCAATCAAACTAATCCAGTGACCTAATTCTTAGATATTTAATTCAAAAGTTATGCAAATTCATTCATTTAGTCGAAATATGTTAAGTGCTTCTGTGAGATCTCGCCATTGATTCTCATCATCAAATCTTAAGTCGTTTGAAGGTTTATAATAAGCGTTAAATTTCGGATATTTCAATATTACAACAATAAACTTTCAGGACTTTAATCAGATTCTAAATTCTTTCCCAATAACCAGCTTACCCCCTTCACACTGAACTCTTTTGCACTTTGTTGTTTAGAAGGATTCTTTTTAGAAGATTAAAAGAATAGCTAGCGAACGACCATCACAAAATGTTCGTGATCCAGTTCGGGAACGAGCTCAAGCGAATTATCGTGCAGTCATTAATGAATTAAATGAAAAATTCAAAGGACTTAAAGAAGGATGCTTTCCGAGACCTAAGGGTGAGCATAATTTTCGGTTTTAGGTTTCTAAAAAAACAATAGTTTTTTAAAAGTTTTTCTTATACTTGTCCTGGGATTTTATGAATTATTTAATTGGTAGTGGTTGCTTGATTTTTAATATTTCCATAATGTTTGCAAGAAAGGTAATTTTATTTTTAATCTGATTGGTACAAGCAACAGCAATGACAACATACAACTAATTTAAGCAATCTTAAAACTGTAACATAACCAACCCATATATTTTAAAAGATATTATTCAAAGATGTTGCAGATATCAGGAAAAAAGTTGCTAATCAAATGAAAACGTCTGCTTAGATCAAATTAATTAATGTTTATAAAACGATTAGCATTACGCCTTCTCTCCTAACTTTCCAGTTCTAATCACAACGGCATGATTATAGATTTCGAATGCAAACGTTAATTTTGTTAATTCTGGAAATTTCAGGATGTTTATGTGTAATCGGAAAAGATCAAGATGGGCGAGATATCACAGAACGGCGAATGAAGGATCGCGATTGTAAGTGCCAACCTGGTGAGCGGGGTCATGGATGTCCAACAGGCGGCGCTTAATATCAGAAACAATAATGTGCTTCATTAATATTTGATGAAAGTAGTTGTTCCGCATGTTTTATCATCTGCAAAATCATCTAATCATTTTTCAGCTAAGGATTTCAGTAAATATGGCACTAATCTTTTTAAAATTTTTGATAAATCGTAATAAAATGACTAATTAAATAAAGCAGTAATTCTTTAAGGTCTTTTTATAGTTGTTCTGCGTTTTATGAATTAATTAGTAGCGGATGCTTGATTTTTAATATTCTCACAATGTCTGCAAGAAAGTAACTTTATTTTGATTTTCCAACAAAAATCTTTAATCGGTATAAGCAACAGCTGCTACAATGACAGCATAAACCGATTTGAATAATCTTAAAACTGTAATTTGATTGTGATCTATATATTTTAAATAAATGTGACGTTCATATTGCAAATGTTCGACTACATCATTTAAAATTTATATTGATCCGAACTTCGGACTTTTTAAGCTGTTTGATAGTTGTCCACAACTTTGTTCAAGAAAACATATAGCGTAGCGAAAATAGATTGCCTTGGTTGAAATGTGTGGATAGTAGGAATCGTTTGCGCATTTATTAAAACCTCAAACTTGGGTAATTAAACCATAATAAAGACACAATATTATATACAAGAAACAAGAGGCACAAAATAACCCAAAACGCATAACCCCAAAAGAAGTAGAGTGAATGAATAATGATGAATGAAGAATTGATGTATTATATAGGCAAAGTATGCGCGCGTATTATAACACGGGAAAATAAGGAAAGTTATTGGAGGATATAACAGCAAAGGAGGTCATGTAATACAATAATTGGAGGCAAGGATGGGAACGAATATGCAAGTACAAAATGAATCATTTGACTGTGTTATTTGGTTTAAACAAGAACATTAACATTGACGCGTATTAACATGTATTAAGAGACAGTAATATTCCTTATTACAAT